AGTGTTATGGGATCCCTCATTTTGTTTTAGTTGGTATAGGGATTTGGACCTAAACTTTTTCAGGAAGTTGGTTGGCGGTATGCCCCCCCATTTTTGGGGGCATGTCTTTTGATCCAAGGTGTTTTGGCCCTCCAGGACGTTTTAATTTTTTTTTCCCCTTTTTGGATCCCCGCTGGGGTGCCCAAAGGTTCTTGGAAAACACGATTTCGCCTGGGAGGTCCACCTTTTGGGGGTCTTCAGTGATGACTCAAGGGTTTCACTGCGAGAGTCCCACCAACAAGATTTATGTGATTATCCACCCACTTTTTTGGGGGGGACTAATATTTTTCCCCCTCCTGTGGTCTCCTGATTCTCGCAGAGGTGTGTCATGGGGAACCAGTTTTGCTTACTAAAGATTGCTGTGATATGGGAGTGATAATGTGATGTTGCTTTCTAAGTATAATTTAACATGTAAAATCTGTTTTTCATTTTCTTTGAACTCCTCCTGGAAAATGTACTGTTTAAATTTTTTTTTGGTGGCACATCTAGTTTGGTCTGTCTTGCAATATAGAGAGCTTTGGTGGTACTTCATAAACCAGCAATTCTCAGGGCACTTATGTACAAAGTTAACTTGCTAGTTTATAAGGTTGCTTGATGTGATTTAGATAAAATGCATCAACGCCAGTGCCTGGCCAGCGCTGTGTTGTGATGATGCCTTGGCATAGAGCTTGATCACTTTTATGTTCGACAAGTTTCACATGTAGTCAATCTAGTACCTCAGTTTGTTAATATTGCCTCAGACCTTAGAGTCGGATTTATAATCTTGCTTTTTCCTTTTGCCTAGCAGTGTCCTTCGGGATCCTGCTATCAGAGTGAGTCCTATGGTCTGGGGGCGAGGGTGTTATGCAGGGCTCTGCATGACATTGTAATATATACAGTAGTGAAGGGTGTCATAATAGTATGAATGTTATGATTGTAAAGCATAATTTTATAATTCATAATGTGCATTTGTGGGCACTGTAGAGTACTTTATAGGGAAATCCTCCTAGGAATTTATTTTCCAACTATGAGTTGTTTAGCAGATAAGCGTGGCTTGGGTGGTGGCATGGAGGCCTGAGATGTGTCTAACTTTTACCTTTGCCCTTAGACAAGGCTCTAGCCCTCAGGTATCCCACATTTCTGCATAACAGCGGCCAAAGACTGCAAACGTCGCTCAAGGAAAAGGATCTAGGGGTGAGCATAACACAGGGCACATCTCCTGAGGTGCATATCAACTAAATAACTGCTGCAGCATATGGGCACCTAGCAAACTTAAGAATAGATTCTGACATCTCAATAAGGATTCGTTCAGGACCCTGTGTACCGCGTACGTGGGACCTATATTAGAGTGCGCAACACCAGTTTGGAGCCCACACCTTGCGAAGCATGTAAAGAAATTAGAGAAAGTGCAAAGATTTGCAACAAGACTAGTCCCGGAGCTAAGGGGCACGTCCAATGAGGAGAGGCTATGGGAAATCGACCTGGCGACACTGGAGGACAGGAAAGAAAGGGGGGATATGATAACGACATATAAAATACTGAGAGGAACCTACACGGTGGACAGAGACAAGATGTTCCAGAGATGCGATGCAGCAACAAGGGGTCACAATTGGAAGTTGAAGACTCACATGAATCACAGGGATGTTAGGAAGTTTTTCTTCAGTCAGAGATATATTAAGAAGTGGAATAGTCTGGGAAGGGATGTAGTGGAGGCAAGATCCATACATAGCTTTGAGAAGAGGTATGATAAAGCTCATGGAGCAGGGAGAGAGACCTGGTGGCTAAAGCTCTCGCTTCACACATGGAGGGCCCGGGTTCGATTCCCGGCGGGGTGGAAACATTTCGACGTATTTCCTTACACCTGTTGTCTTGTTCACCTAGGAGCAAATAGGTACCTGGGTGTTAGTCGACTGTTGTGGGTCGCATCCTGGGGGACAAGATTGAGGGCCACAATGGAAATAAGTTAGACAGTCCTCGATGACGCACTGACTTTTTTGGCTTAACTTGGGTGGCTAACCCTCCGGGGTTAAAAATCCGACCAATGAAGAAGTGGGCTAGGAGCTGTGATTCGACCTCTGCAACCACAACTAGGTGAGTGCACACACAAACACTCACCCTCGACTAAGTCACTACAGCACAAACATGGACATAACACCATCTATATAAATCAACATGATAATCATTATTAATTTCACAACTTAGTTCGGTGATGTGATTGTTACCTTTGTTCCTGGGATCACAGCGGGAATTATTTAATAACATTTGAACAATATCAACATTGTTGTTCTTAACAGCGTAGTATAGTGGTGTCTGGCCATCATCATCCTGACAGTTGACGTCAGCACCAGCATCAAGCAGCATCTTAACACAATCATCATGACCAGCCTCAGCTGCTATGTGAAGAACTGTTACACCTGCAACACAACAAACATGTTTATTTGATGATATAAAATTCCTAAAATTTATTATTAAAAATAATAGTAGTACTAATGGTACAACTACTACCACATTTAATAATAATAATAATAATAATAATAATAATAATAATAATAATAATAATAATAATAATAATGTATTATTTAGTAACAGAAGTAGTAGTGTAATAGTAGTAGTGGTAGTAATATAAGTAGAATTAATGGTTGTAGTAGTAGTAGTAGTAGTAGTAGTAGTAGTAGTAATATTAATAGCAGCAGTAGTAGAATTATCATTTGTATTATTAATATTTTTTGTATGTATTTTTTTTTATAAACACATCGGTCGTTTCCCACCCAGGGAAGGTGACCCGAAAAATAATAATAATATATTTATGTAAATACATAATAATAATAATAATAATAATAATAATAATAATAATAATAATAATAATAATAATAATAATAATAATATTATTATTATTATTATTATTATTATTATTATTATTATTATTATTATTATTATTATTATTATTATTATAATCAATATTAATATAATTGATGTTATTATTACAATTAGAATGAGATAATAAGTTGGTGGATGGTTTTTAAAGGTATTATCACGATGGCTAAATAGGTTGTTCAGACATTTAGAGAAAATGAAACGAAATATAATGAATTGGAGATCGTATAAGTTGATTTTTCTTTATATGTTATTTAAAACTATATACAAAATACAGATAAAGGTGCTATAGGGCAATTTCCCGCGCGCGCTCAACCAAAAATCGAAAAAATATGGAAATTGAGTTATATATACTGAAAAATAGCTCAACTCTTTGGCAACACAATGGTACCAGAATGAATGTTCTACGACGTTTCTACAAGAAATTATAGTCATTTATATCAGGTATGGTGACGGCGATGTTGGTAGCGAGTCTGCTCACGGCCTATATATATTTCGGAGTTGTTTTCTTGTTTTTTATCGCCTTTTCTTGCATTATTCTTTCTAATATAATAACTGACTATTTGGCATCATAAAACAGTAGGCGGGACTTATCCCCAGACTGAGCGACAGGTGGGAACCAGATGGAAACGCTCGGGACTTATCCGCAGACTGAGCGACAGCTGGGAACCAGATGGGAACGCTCGGGACTTATCCGCAGACTGAGCGACAGCTGGGAACCAGATGGGAACGCTCGGGACTTATCAGCAGACTGAGCGACAGCTGGGAACCAGATGGGAACGGTCGGGACTTATCCGCAGACTGAGCGACAGCTGGGAACCAGATGGGAACGGTCGGGACTTACCCGCAGACTGAGCGACAGCTGGGAACCAGATGGGAACGGTCGGGACTTATCCGCAGACTGAGCGACAGCTGGGAACCAGATGGGAACGGTCGGGACTTATCCGCAGACTGAGCGACAGCTGGGAACCAGATGGGAACGGTCGGGACTTACCCGCAGACTGAGCGACAGCTGGGAACCAGATGGGAACGGTCGGGACTTATCCGCAGACTGAGCGACAGCTGGGAACCAGATGGGAACGGTCGGGACTTACCCGCAGACTGAGCGACAGCTGGGAACCAGATGGGAACGGTCGGGACTTATCCGCAGACTGAGCGACAGCTGGGAACCAGATGGGAACGGTCGGGACTTATCCACAGACTGAGCGACAGCTGGGAACCAGATGGGAACGGTCGGGACTTATCCGCAGACTGAGCGACAGCTGGGAACCAGATGGGAACGGTCGGGACTTATCCGCAGACTGAGCGACAGCTGGGAACCAGATGGGAACGGTCGGGACTTATCCGCAGACTGAGCGACAGCTGGGAACCAGATGGGAACGGTCGGGACTTATCCACAGACTGAGCGACAGCTGGGAACCAGATGGGAAACGGTCGGGACTTATCCGCAGACTGAGCGACAGCTGGGAACCAGATGGGAACGGTCGGGACTTATCCGCAGACTGAGCGACAGCTGGAAACCAGATGGGAACGGTCGGGACTTATCCGCAGACTGAGCGACAGCTGGGAACCAGATGGGAACGGTCGGGACTTATCCGCAGACTGAGCGACAGCTGGGAACCAGATGGGAACGGTCGGGACTTATCCGCAGACTGAGCGACAGCTGGGAACCAGATGGGAACGGTCGGGACTTACCGCAGACTGAGCGACAGCTGGGAACCAGATGGGAACGGTCGGGACTTATCCGCAGACTGAGCGACAGCTGGGAACCAGATGGGAACGGTCGGGACTTACCGCAGACTGAGCGACAGCTGGGAACCAGATGGGAACGGTCGGGACTTATCCGCAGACTGAGCGACAGCTGGGAACCAGATGGGAACGGTCGGGACTTATCCACAGACTGAGCGACAGCTGGGAACCAGATGGGAACGGTCGGGACTTATCCGCAGACTGAGCGACAGCTGGGAACCAGATGGGAACGGTCGGGACTTATCCGCAGACTGAGCGACAGCTGGGAACCAGATGGGAACGGTCGGGACTTATCCGCAGACTGAGCGACAGCTGGGAACCAGATGGGAACGGTCGGGACTTATCCACAGACTGAGCGACAGCTGGGAACCAGATGGGAACGGTCGGGACTTATCCGCAGACTGAGCGACAGCTGGGAACCAGATGGGAACGGTCGGGACTTATCCGCAGACTGAGCGACAGCTGGAAACCAGATGGGAACGGTCGGGACTTATCCGCAGACTGAGCGACAGCTGGGAACCAGATGGGAACGGTCGGGACTTATCCGCAGACTGAGCGACAGCTGGGAACCAGATGGGAACGGTCGGGACTTATCCGCAGACTGAGCGACAGCTGGGAACCAGATGGGAACGGTCGGGACTTATCCGCAGACTGAGCGACAGCTGGGAACCAGATGGGAACGGTCGGGACTTATCCGCAGACTGAGCGACAGCTGGGAACCAGATGGGAACGGTCGGGACTTATCCGCAGACTGAGCGACAGCTGGGAACCAGATGGGAACGGTCGGGACTTATCCGCAGACTGAGCGACAGCTGGGAACCAGATGGGAACGGTCGGGACTTATCCGCAGACTGAGCGACAGCTGGGAACCAGATGGGAACGGTCGGGACTTATCCGCAGACTGAGCGACAGCTGGGAACCAGATGGGAACGGTCGGGACTTATCCGCAGACTGAGCGACAGCTGGGAACCAGATGGGAACGGTCGGGACTTATCCGCAGACTGAGCGACAGCTGGGAACCAGATGGGAACGGTCGGGACTTATCCGCAGACTGAGCGACAGCTGGGAACCAGATGGGAACGGTCGGGACTTATCCGCAGACTGAGCGACAGCTGGGAACCAGATGGGAACGGTCGGGACTTATCCGCAGACTGAGCGACAGCTGGGAACCAGATGGGAACGGTCGGGACTTATCCGCAGACTGAGCGACAGCTGGGAACCAGATGGGAACGGTCGGGACTTATCCGCAGACTGAGCGACAGCTGGGAACCAGATGGAAACGGTCGGGACTTATCCGCAGACTGAGCGACAGCTGGGAACCAGATGGGAATGGTCGGGACTTATCCGCAGACTGAGCGACAGCTGGGAACCAGATGGGAACGGTCGGGACTTATCCGCAGACTGAGCGACAGCTGGGAACCAGATGGGAACGGTCGGGACTTATCCGCAGACTGAGCGACAGCTGGGAACCAGATGGGAACGGTCGGGACTTATCCGCAGACTGAGCGACAGCTGGGAACCAGATGGGAACGGCCGGGACTTATCCGCAGACTGAGCGACAGCTGGGAACCAGATGGGAACGGTCGGGACTTATCCGCAGACTGAGCGACAGCTGGGAACCAGATGGGAACGGTCGGGACTTATCCGCAGACTGAGCGACAGCTGGGAACCAGATGGGAACGCTCGGGACTTATCCGCAGACTGAGCGACAGCTGGGAACCAGATGGGAACGCTCGGGACTTATCCGCAGACTGAGCGACAGCTGGGAACCAGATGGGAATGGTCGGGACTTATCCGCAGACTTAGTGACAGCTGGGAACCAGATGGGAACGCTCGGCAGTGTTCCCGGCTCGAGGTGCCAGCCAGGAATCGCCCATTATTACGCTTATATCAGCTTATATATCAACTCTACGGCCTATTTGTCTATCAGAATTGATCTAATATGATATAATAAACACTCTAAATAACATACAAACATGTTATATACTCTAGACTGAATAAAACTGAATAAAATAGGCCATAATATGGCCCAGAGACCATCGGGAATATTTCGATATAAAAGTGTAACTGGTCATCCTGTCGTCTCTGAGTAAGAGAAAACGGTGTTTAGAGGTTAACTGCACTAGAACATCAGTTTACTAAGAAATACACCCAAACAAACGCGATTTTCGCGATTTTTTTTTTTTTTTTTTTTTTTGAGACGGGGGCCGGCCGGCGCTCTCGGCCGATATCTGGGAAGTAACTTATTCAACAATTGTTCAAGAATCTCCCTTTATTACTGAATTAAATGGAATATAATACTCACAAAAGTTGTAGAATAATGATTTCTCTTTTTTTCTGTGACCAAATTTTGGAAATATTCCAAATACTTTGGGAGTTATGTGGGAGTAAAGGGCATATGCTTTTGCAATATTCCAGGAACTAACAAACTTTATTTTTTTTGTGAAATAAAGATACGTTCATTTAAAGAAAAGGAGTCACAGAAAATAAGAATAAGCATTGTTCTCTCGGCACCAAGTGTCCAAACAACCTCACGTAGTCCCATATAGGAGAAAAGTTGAACACTATGGCATTTTCAGTAAATCAGTCATTTCTCAGTTGTTGTTTGAGGAATATTTTTGATAAATATTTTCAAGAAAGAGTGAAACGACTTTGTCTTGTGTACCAAAACTGGAGAAAATCGGACAGTAAACAACGGAGTTACAGATTTTGCCCGACGGCCCCCTTAATCCATGTGTAATAGCTGGATACATCATGCCTCCTCACCGTCACAGTATGATTAACTGGTATGGCCACTTCCTGAAACTTATTCACCACTGCCTCATACACATTCGCCGAACTAAATTTTACAAAAATCCTCTTTGTACAGTTCAGTTCAAGTCCACAAATCTCCTCATTGGCTATTCCGTAGGTATCTCTGATGATTGCAGGCAGAAGCAACTCCATTGATGGCCCCGTTACAGCTCCACTGGTTAATTCAATGCAGACAGTATTTATCCTGCGCCGGCTAGCCTGCGCCATGTTTGGGGAAAATAATACTGCCACCAGACAACTCCAGGGGGCAGCAGCAGCGCACGTCCTCTCCACTCAAAGGTTGAGAGACGAATGAGTGCATTTCATGTAATATATTTTGGTGAAGGGATGGGGAGCATCAGGGGTTGGTTGAGTAGGTGCTACATAGGGTCAATGATAAAGGGATTTCTGTTTTGAGAGTGTTAAGTCTTGACATGGGGGAATTGGATGCGAGTATCATTAGAGCTGTTGGGTACATTGTAGTAGATTATTATATATATATATATATATATATATTATATATATATATATATTATATATATATATTATATATAATATATATATATATATATATATATATATATATATATATATATATATATATATATGTCGTGCTGAATATGTAAAACTGGTCAATTAGCAAGAACTCATTTAAAATTAAGTCCTTTCTAAAATTTTCTCCTATACGTTTAAAGATATATTTTTTTCATTAATGTTAATGTAAAAATTTTTAATTTTGCACCAGAAGAATCTTAGAAAACTTACCTAACCTTAATGTAAAAAGAACAATTAACTTTGGCCTAACCCAACTATATATATTTCAGAATTGTTTACAATAATTTAATACTAAACAAACACAGTGAAATATATTTTTTTCGTTAGGTTCAGAATGATTTTGACGAAATTATTGCATACACAAATTTTCACTTGTCCTATATGGCAAGATGAGCGTTGCTATTTAAGCGAAGATCGCAAGTTGTTGGTCCACAAAATAATGGAAACACCTAGCATCTTCTCATAATAATTTTGTAACGTGTATAAAATCATGAAATTTTGCTATTTTTGTGTTTTTATGATTTATTATTAGTCTTTCTTATTCCTTTTTGCTGAAAATGTTATTTTTTTACAGATTTATGAAGAGAAATTAACTAAAATCCCTAAAATGATAGATCTGTCAGACTTTGAATGGGTTCGAATTGTTGGTGCTCGTATGGGTGGTTGTAGCGTAACGAAAACATCTGGACTTTTTGGTTTATCAAAAGGTATTGTCTCGAAGGTGATGACAGCCTTTGCAAAAGATGGGAAAAACCTTTCATCAAAGAAAATCTCTGGAAGGAAGCGAAACCTGTCAGATAGTGATTGTCGAACTCTTTCACGGATTGTTAGAAAGGATCGTAGGACTACATTACCCAAAACTACAGCAGAGCTTAATGAACACCTCCATAACCCAGTTTCCACAAAAACTGAAAAAAGGGAACTTCATAAAGCTGGATTTTATGCGAGAACTGCAATTAGGAAACCCTTACTTTCAAAAACCAATGTTGAAAAGCATGTAGAGTGGTGTAAAAATCATGAATAGTGGTCCTTAGACCACTGGAAGAATTTTATTTTTCTCCTTATTTCACCTTATTTCCAACCTCAGGCCGAGTATACGTGTGGAAACAGCCAAAAGACGCATATGATCCCGACTGTCTTCTTCCAATTGTTAAAGACGGAGGAGGTTCTGTGATGATTTGGGGTGCTATGTCTTGGAAATCTGCAGGCCCAGTGGCTGCCCTTCATGGCAGAATTAAAAGTTAAGATTATTTAAACATTTTAGTAGATCAACTTCATCCTATGTTTGCAACACCATCATCACTTAAGGAACTGGAGATTGTTTTATTTGAAGAATAGACAAAAATACCCCTAGAATCTATTAACATTGTATGAATCAATTCCTCGTAGAATTTAAGCAGTAATTACTGCCAAAAATGGTCGTACACTATATTACGATAAATTTGTTTAAATTTCAAGGTGTTTCATTATTTTGGCCAACCCCTTGTTTTGAATTGAATCTCACGAAATACACGGATACGACTTTTGGTGATCAGTCAAGTCGCCGGATACCAGAGTGAGCATAGTTTCAAACATATCACCAGAGTCACCAACAAACGAAAATCCTCTCTAACCAAAACTTTTTTGTTCATAAATCTAAGAGTAGCTTCAGGAATCTCAACCATCATTCGAAACCCTCTATATAATATTTGTCATGCCCATTTTGGAATATTCAACACTAGAGTTTAACTAACACTTGATATATCAGCAAGAATAATCCCCAGTTAAGGGGTTCAAGCATTTGACAATAGAACAAGTGGAGACGTTGTATAACTATACAAAATAATTTTAGGGAATTTAGATGATAGACAGAATTTGACTGTTTGAAAGATTAGAGAAGGTAATATACAGAAGAGATATGAAGAATTCAAGACATAATTAAAACTCAGGATGGTCAGGGAGAGGAATGGACTAGATAAAGATGTTTGTAGATTGAATCTGGAAAGTGGCAACAAGAAAATTATGGCAGCAGCTGAGACTCAACCCTTGTAACCATATAATGTTTATTACATACACATAGAAAAGTACAAACACACTCACAATATAGACAAAGGCATAGTTATGGAGGCAGACTTTATTAAGGAAAACGAAATTTTTAGGACAATACCTTTTACTTTAGAAGGAAGTGACGGATCACAGCGTGAATCATTTAATAAAACTTGAAGAACTCCAGAATGGTTGCGCCTCGCTGCACAGTGTAGAGGTGTCCATCCATCATCATCCTGACAGTTGGGATCAGTAGCAGCAAGAAGGATCTTCACACAATCTATATGACCAAAATCTGCTGCTATGTGAAGAGCGCTCCTACCTGCACCACAAAACATTTTGATTTGATTCATCGAAATATAATTAAAATTATTATTGTCAGTAGTAGTTGTAGCAGCAGCAGCATTAGTAATACGAATAGTAGTCATAGCCGTTTATGAATCAGCAGTACTAATATTTATTTTCTTAAAATTTATGTATTTCACATTATGTTTCAACAACAACAACAACAACAACAACAACAACAACAACAACAACAACAACAACAACAACAACAACAACAACAACAACAACAACAACAACAATAATAATAATAATAATAATAATAATAATAATAATAATAATAATAATTATAGTAATAATAATAATATTATTATTATTATCATTATTATTATTATTATTATTATTAAAAATAATAATAAAATAATAATAATAATAATAATAATAATAATAATAATAATAATAATAATAATAATAATAATAATAATAATAATAATAATAATAATAACAAAGATAATTATTATAATAATTATAACAGCAAATCAAGTTGCTTGGCTTCATATCAAGAAGCATAAATAATAGGAGTCCTCAGGTTGTTCTTCAACTCTATACATCCTTGGTTAGACCTCATTTAGATTATGCTGCACAGTTCTGGTCACCGTATTACAGAATGGATATAAATTCTCTGGAAAATGTACAAAGGAGGATGACAAAGTTGATCCCATGTATCAGAAACCTTCCCTATGAGGATAGACTAAGGGCCCTGAATCTGCACTCTCTAGAAAGACGTAAAATTAGGGGGGATATGATTGAGGTGTATAAATGGAAGACAGGAATAAATAAAGGGGATGTAAATAGTGTGCTGAAAATATCTAGCCTAGACAGGACTCGCAGCAATGGTTTTAAGTTGGGAAAATTCAGATTCAGGAAGGATATAGGAAAGTACTGTTTGGTAATAGAGTTGTGGATGAGTGGAACAAACTCCCAAGTACCGTTATAGAGGCCAGAACGTTGTGTAGCTTTAAAAATAGGTTGGATAAATACATGAATGGATGTGGGTGGGTGTGAGTTGGACTGATAGCTTGTGCTACCAGGTCGGTTGCCGTTTCCCCCCCTTAAGCCCAAAGTGACCTGACCTGACTGGGTTGGGTGTTTGGGCTTAAAAAAATTAGGAGACGGGAACCTGCCTGAAATGGGCAAGAAACCCCTTCGTAGTGTTCCTTCGTTTTTAAATTTTTCTTTTTTCTTCTTTTATGAGTAATTTTGGGGGGGTTGGGAGTTGACCTGATAGCTTGGCACCGGGGTCGGGTTTGCCGTGTTTCCTTCTTAAGTAAATGGGGACCTGCCTGACTGGGTTTTGGGTGCTTTCCCTTAAGCCGGTAGGAAAATTGGGACCCCCTCGCATGGGCCGTAGGCCTTCTGCGGGTTTTCCTTCGTTTTTTTATTTTCTTATGTTTTTAACCCCTAAAAGGGATTTTTTCTACATTTCTCATATTTTAAAACCCGTCCCCAAATGCTAGGGGAAAGGGACCAGACTCCTCGCACACAAAACCCCCTTTACCACCTGAGACCTCCCCTGGGTTAACCTCTACACTTCCTTCCCCCCAACTGAAAGATTTTTAAAACAAAAGTCATTCTTTTTTGTTCGTTTCCCCAAAATTTTTTCGAACCATCTAAACAAAAAATTCCTCAGCCCGGGTTAATAGTTGCGTAACCAACCCCTCCTAATCCCCAAACTACTATATTTTTTTAAAACAATCTGGTATTTTCCCCCCTGAGGCAGGGTGGCCCAAAGCAAAAACAAAAATTTCTTTTTTAAAAATTTTAGAAATGAAAAGGAAAGGGGGTTACTAGCCCTTGCCCCTTTACAAGCCGTTTTTGGGGCTTTTCAGGGCTCACGGAGGAAGAACCCTTTTTTTTCTTCAAAATGCGGGGTTGTAAGGGCGACTAAAATCCCGGGGAAAGCAAGGGGCTAGAAACCCCCCCTTCTCCTGTAAAAATATTACAAAATTTTTGCAAGGAGAAATTTTTCTTTTTTTCCTTTTTGGGCCACCCAGCCTCAGAGGGAACGGCGGGGGGACATTAAAAAAATAATATTTTTATAAAAATTTTCGTGCCAAAATTTTAAAAACTTGGGGACCCTTGGCTTAAAAAAAAGCAACGCTAAATTCTTGAAAAAAAAGGCAAGAAAAAAATTTTGCGTATGCAATAATTTTGCAAAAATCTTTCCTTGAATCAAACAAAAAAAAATTTTCATTGTGTTTTTTTTATTACAAAAATTTTTTGTAAATTTTTATAAAAAATATATCTATTTGGGATTACCCTAAAAAAAATTGGAGTTTTTTTGTAATAAGGTTTGTTAGTTTTCTAAGGTTCTTGGGGAAAATTTTATTTTTTCCCCGAAAATCATTGTTTTTTTGTATGAAAATTATGATATATATTGTGGGTTAAAAAAAATTAAAATTTGAAAAGAATAAAAAAACCCAAATTGAGGATTTTAGTGTTGCTTGCAGGGGGCCCTTTGGTTTTAAAACGGGGGCAAGAAAAATTTATAGTGAAAATCGGGGAAGAATTTTCTTTCAAACTAGAGGATAAATTGTGTTTAAAACCCCCCAAATAGGAGCAAAATTGTTGGATTTGCATTTCCTGCAAAATGTGAAAAACGGCAATGGACGGGCCCTCAGTAAGTAGATAAAAAAAGGTTTAAAAATTTCCCAACAGTTGAGAAATTTGTCTATTTTTTATTTTTTTAATTTTTGGCCATTTTTCTTAAAATTTTTTTAGGCAGGGGTTTGTGAAAGACCCCCAAGTAATCTCCAGAAAAATTGGTGAGGGTTTTAAACTTTTTATATTTTCTTTCTGTTACTAAATTTTTTAAATGTAGTCCTTTATTAATTTAACATAAATTTAAAAATGTTTTCCAAAATTTCCCTGGTGATATTTATTTCATTAAAATAAATAAAGGTGAAGAGTGATTGTAAAAGATAGAGAGGTGGAAAGGTTTTCAAAGGGTTTGTTAACCTTTTTTTGCGACCTAATACCCGAAAATTCCTACAATCTCCAAAATTTTTGGGTAAAAATAATTATCTTTGTTACAAATTTTCCCGGGGTATGATTTTAATGGGGGCTCATCCAAAAAAATTTAAAATTTTCCCACGTAGTTCCCCCATTGGTCATTGAAAAAACCCGGATATAATTAGTGAAGTTTTTTAATTAGTGAATTAATTACTTAATTTTTATTATGAAATACACAAAAAAAAACCGCACATAGAAGAGGGGAGTTTACGAAAAGGGTTTCGGTCAGACTTGGACCATTTAAAAAAAGTCACATTTAACTAGAAGTGGAGCAGGACTGCTATATATGGGACGGAAAGAGGTAGTGGTGAAAGTAGTAGAGGGAGTAGTAGTAGTTTGAAGTTTTTTAGTTTGTATAGTGGCATGGGAGTAGTAGTAGTTTTTTTGGGGTGGTATAGTATAGTAGTGGTGTCGTAAGCTCCTCTCTTCTTGTGGGGGGTTATTTGTGTATCGTTTCCCGTAACGGTTTTTTGGGCCTTTTTTGTTTTTTATAAGTGAAATAACAAAGGATGGGTTTAGATACACCAAATTTTTAAATTTAATTTTTTTAGTGCATTATAATTAAATACAACAAAAATTTTGCTAAGCTCAAGTGTACTAGGATTTTTTGTTAATGTCTATGAAAATTCATAGTATAATTTTTCCCTTTCATGTGTAATTGCTAAGCCCAAATGTAAACTAGCATTTATATAAGTGTATTTTTAAAAATTTTATTATAAATTTTTCCCTTTCTTTTGTAATTTCCCAGGTTCAATTGTAGCTAGGGTTTATATTAAAGTGTATTTAAAATTTTTATTTTAATTTCCTTACATTAATCATTTTTTTAAAAAGGGTTTAAATGTAGCTGGGGTTTAAAATTAATGTGTATTTTAAAAATTTTTATTATTTAATTTTTCCCTTTCTTGTGTAATTGCAAATTCAAGTGTAGCTAGGATGTATATTAATGTGTAAATTTAAAATTAAAAATTATAATTTGCTTTCTTGTGTAATTGCTAAAGGGTGGGTTTTACCCAGGTTTTTTTCCCGGGGAAAAATTTTAATTTTAAACCCTTTATAAAGTTCATAATTAAGTACATAATCAGTGTTATTAATTAAGTTTAATTTTATATTAATTTTCACCATGGGTTTTAAAAAGGGGGTTTAAAATTTTTGGGGAGATGACAAGGGTTTTAGAATTTTTGAGCTAAGAAAGCATTATTGCATGCTAGAAAGAACCCTGTAACAAAAAACATACAATAAGTTTGGAAAATGAAACAGGAAACTGAAAAAAACTGATTTTTTAAAAAATTTTTTTAGATGCCCTTTTGGGAAAAAATAAATTCCCTAAAAAATTTTATTAAAGAAAAAAAAGAAGGAGATTTGTTTTTAAATTGTGGAGTTAAGTCAGAAATGGGGTTTTTTGATTTAAACACTATTAGGGAAATAGAAGAAAATATTTTTTCTTTAAAAGTCAACTTAGAATAAAAAATTAAAAAAGTGAAAAAAAGGCAGTTAATCATTGCTCCCAAAAAAATAAGATGTGTTTGGCCCCAAAATCCCCGAATTTGGGTTTTTCCCTTTTTTTTAATCCTGGAGAAAAAATGGAGGGTTTTTTTTTCAATTTTTAAAACACTGTGCCTATAGGAGTGGGCCCGATGTGTAAAATAAATTATCTCAAAGGACGGTAAGAGGGGATGCTCCCAAAACTCATACAAACCTTTTCCCCGTGTAGATGATTCTTACAAAAAAAGTTGACTTTTTGAAAGTTTATTATGGTTTAAAATTTGAAAAAAAGTAGGTTGTAACTGTGAAATCCCTTTTTTAATTTAAAAACTCCAGATCCACTTTCAAAGGTTTTTCAGCAGTTTTAGAGTTTAAAAAGGGGAGCACTCTCAAAACTTTTAAATAATAAATAAAAATCAAAGGGAAACAGCCGGTTTTTTGGGGCCATTGTACAAATAAATTAAGCTGTAAAAATTGGGAAAAACT